AATCATAATCCTCATCTCAGAATAATTTTGTGAATGTGTCAATGCAGATGAGGATAACAGTCCGAATAATGTAAATAATGCAAGTAATCATAATACCTCATCTCAGAGATATATTCTTTATTCTTAACCAATCAAAGCATTATATTTCTTTAGTGAGATGTAAGTTCCACTAGAGTAGCTTCTTCCCACGAATCACTGTTTTGTGGAACCAGCTCCCAAGAAAGTGCTTCCCCGATCGCTGAGAACTTAACCTGTTCAAGTTTATGGTTAACCGTTACATTTTCCATTTTCATATATAGTCAACGACGAAATTATTTGTACACACATCAATTTTGAATATTTCTATTTCTCAAAATCAAATGCCTGTATGATGTCAGGTTTTTTCTATTTGTTAATAAGCACAAAAGTGGAATATAAAACTCAATTTTCAGAACAATAGGTTAAATATAACAAATTTGATAGGAGAATTATGCAAAAATTTGGTGCTTACTAACATATAAAAAAATCTGGGATCATATTCAAAATTGATGGGTTTACAAATAATTTCCTGTGCCACTTACTCATAACACTCTACCTCGAGTGGCTCCTGGGCCTTTTACAAAGTGAAAATCATTGTAAAAATAAAAGACGAGATATCCCTTGATAAGAACAGCGGAACGAGGACAATATACACCCATATATTGAAGAAAGGTTTCAGCTCGAAATTCATTAGAGGTCACCCGTTTCGAAAAACACCTGAAGAATGCACTAAGTTGCAACAACCGAAACGTCGTGATAACAACAACAGATATGAGGACAATAGTTTGACTGTAAATAATGTAATTAATAGGAACTCATCCCTGAAAATCAAACCGTGTCTATTAGTTGAAAGAATAATAAATTACGTAAATTGGTTACCCAGTAATTTTGGAAAGCATTTAAAATTAACAACTTAAAAATAGAATTATATTCGTGTGTTTACTTAGTTTTCATTTCCAAAATATCTGCTCAACCACCTTCTTCTTTAATTTCTTTAATATATAATACTTTATTATATAACGAGTATTTTTTTTAGATATGCGACAACCGAACTTCCATTATCCATATTGCCTCAGCCACCCGCACCCAATAACCCTTGATCAATAACTTGATGACGAGATTTTCAGTTACCCCAGTTCTGGTTACCTTCGAACTTTAAACGAAGATAATTAAGGGTTATTCTTGGGTTTTCTGTATCCTTCCGCGGGAGACTGTGGTGATGAGGTTAAAATGGTAGGTGAGTGGGTGAAAACCTTTACTATTCGTTCGTCTTATCTCATTACTGCTTAATTTTCTATTATCCCTCCGCTCATGAAATGTAACTGCGGAAAAAATCGCCAGAGAAGCAAAATGGACGCTAATTGACCAGAATATGGTTGACATTTTGCCCGGGTATCATTTCACCAACAACATAGAACAACAAATCTTTTTTTTTTCCTTCTTTTTCTTTTAAATTTCAGTTGATGTGTTCGTTTTTATTATGGACGTTGCCTGAAAGAATATTACAATTCACAAGCCACAGACCTCGGACGTAAATAAATGCACTTTTACACGTCTTGCGAAAAATTTTAATAGAGATGGAAAATTTCATAAATTCATTATTAATTTTTGTTGTTTTTTTTGTTGTCGTTTTTTTTTTGTTTTTTTTTTCACATCAAGAAATGAAGTCACTGAGACACAAGGTGGTTACTGGATGGGACGGAATAAGAAAAAGAAAAAAAATACCGTTAAAGATCGAAGTGATTACCATAAAAAAAACCCAACCCTAAACAACATCAACTTGGAACAACCAACCTAACCAGCATGAAAACTGACCAACTTCTATATGCAAAATACTCATCGAGAACATATGAAATACGCACCTCTGTGAAAGCATTTTAAAATATTCGAAGTGCTTAATATTTAAAAAAAAAAAAAAAACCTTTAGAAGATCAACTTGCAACACGGCCGCAATGTACTGTCCGTATTAAAAATATGCCGTCCCTCCAGTAATTTATACACCGTTGGAAATAATATTAGACATAATTTACAATAGCACAAACAAATTCCTTGATAATGACTAATAGTTTAGCCGAACGTACTTGGAACAAAAATCCTTCGGACAATTTCTACACACACTGAGGCAAATGGTATCACATATATGCCAGAAAAATACTAGAAAAAAATCTTTAATAGAATTACATCGTCAGGGAACTTCAACGAAAGAGTTATTAGATAGGAACTACAGCCACATACCCAACTATATATATATATATATATATCAATTAAAGGTGAAATTATAATTTATAAATTCATGAATCATTCATACAAAAAACAAATATAGAGGTTAATGATTCAAATGGCGAGAATACATCTTCGCAAACAATATAAGTAAGATACACCAACCCCCAACCTGTATATGAATGATATGATCCCTGTTCATAAATTCCAGTGGCATAAGGTCTTTTTAATTTTTTACAAGCTTTCGTCTGTTCCTACAGACATCTTCAGGTATGGAAATAGATTTTGTTCTTGTTTTTACTTTTCGGTAATAAGAGGACAATGAAAATAGAGATGTAATCCGAAAAAATGCTATGAGAAATGTGTTATTGTTTTGGAACGCTGAGTTTGAATTTAAATTTAAATTGTAAGGTTTTTAAATCATTTACCTCTATATTTGATTTTGTATGAATGATTCATGAATATATATATATATATATATATATATATATGAAATGGACAAAGTCCTATAATTATTTTTAAGACATTTTTTTATGTTTATAGGGTCTTTTTATAGATACAAATATTTAAGTAAATGCTCTGTTTATAATAAACAGTATTAAACAACATTTACCGGCCTGAATGTCCGAGAAATTCTCATAGAAAATATGCGTCCTTCGACAGGAATCGAACCTGTATCCTATACGGAACCGTCATATAGTCTGACATGCCTTTACCGATTGAGCTACAGAGGAGCGTTCGGTTAGCAAGGTCGATTTTACTGTTTTTAAACACATTTCTCCATCATTTTCTCTCATACATTCATATTTGCTCATGGCGTATCCAAATGTAAACAAATGACATCACACCTTATGAAATGGACAAAGTCCGATAATTATTTTTTAAGACATTTTCTTATTTTTATTTGCATTTATATTTTTGAAAAGTTGAAAGGAAAGTGAGAAGTCGGATGAGAGTTCTACGGGCGAGAAGTGCGAGAAAATAAAGCGTTAGCTGAATTAGATAGGAGAAACGACCAACATGAAAGAATTTTAAAAATGTCCAAGACAATTATTTATAAAGGACAGACCATTTCGTAATTGTTTATTTAGCCATTAAGTGATTCTAAGGTCAGCTAAGTATGACAAAAGGCCTATTGATGGAGTCAGGACGATTACGCGATTTATCTGGGGCGTGCGGACATGCTTATCAAGATAGTAAACCAAATTTTGGTTTTCATCTGAACACGCACACACACCCACGAGTTTTATATATATATATATATATATATATATATGATAAAATATAGGGGTATGATATTGGTTAAATTGTTCAATACCAGTGATAGAATGTATACAAATATAAAAGTGGACAATGAGGTCAACGTCCAGCAGCGACAGTCTGTGTCATGCTTAAACGCAACCTTCAAATTTAAGCATGTCCACTTAAATATATATATATATGTGTGTGTGTGTGTGCCGTTGTAACCGCAAAATTGTCCAAATCGTGTAACAGCAAAATTGTCCAGTTGTTAGATTAAGCTTAGAACCGTTCTATCTTAGAAATGATTAAAAATATATTACTGCAATTCTCCGAGGTTTTTGTAACTCTATGGGAGTCTACTTTGATCAATATGAATGTTCAGATTCTGAATTGAAAGTTGCCCTTCTCCTAGGCTGGTTGCCAAGCAGACATTAGAGATAGACGCCACATTTTTATTTATTAAACATTGTTCATTGCATGTATCTGCTTTGCGCATTCGCGAGATCTTAAAGTACGAACGTGTTTTACTTTAGTAAGATTTCTGGACTACGCAGGCCGATCGCCGTAATAGGCACTGTGAATAAAAATTAGAAATGAACGTCTGTTTCAAATACGAAGTATCCCCAGAAGTAAATATATAGCATTTATACATTTAGACATTGTCGACATAAGAATCTGTTGTGGCCTGTTTAGGGGCCAGAAATAAAGACACAGAAGATGAATGTAGATTGAAACAAGTTGATTGAAATAACAGATATATTCAAAGCAAGAGTGTTAGTAATAAGCAGATAGAGATGTACGTCCGAATGGTAGGTTAACACTGCGTCTCCGCTGCCCTACGACTCTATATTTTTACAGTCCCCCCACGAGGAATGAATGTGGCACAAGGCCGAGTTTAATGTGGGTTTCTCCGATCCCGTAGACTCTGCCAAAAATATCCCCTTACAACCTGCATAAGCGAATTCGGGATCTGTCTACCTCCCCGGATGAAACTTTGCCCTTCGGCAAAGCCTTGTCCGGGTTCCTATCTGCCAAATCAGAGAGTTTGACAGAAGTCGCACACAGTCAGAGACTGTGTCTCGGCTCCGCTACGACTCTATATTTAACAGTCACTCCACGAGGAATGTATGTGTCACAAGGCCGAGTTTAACGTGGGTTTCTCCGAGTTCGTAGGCTCGTCCAAAAATATCCCCTTTGAATCCACGCATAGGCGGGTTCGGGATCTGTCTAACTCCCCGGACGAAAACATTGCCCTTCGTCAAAGCCTCGTTCGGGTTCCTCTCTGCCAAAGCAGAGAGTTCGACAGAAGTCGCACACAGTCAGAGACAGCGTCTCAGTTCCGCTACGACTCTACCCTAGGACGTTTCGCAGTTAATATTTATGGAGGAAGAGTTCATACTACTGTAGAAGGTTTACCACAACAGAATCAAAAAACAGGAAGAAAGCTGTGGATGGCCATGATGGCCCAAGACCTGAAAGGAGCTGACACACGTTGTAAAGACTTCACATCTTGCAAAAATATGTCGAACTTTGTCCATTTAGGCATGCACCTCCTTTGCTATAACGTATGCAGTAACTCCCACTGGCATAAAACAGAATTTGTTTCTTCAACGATGTTACACTCTGTCATTTTTATCTACTGATACGAAAGCAAGAAAGGAACGGTGCCTGTATAGACTCTTCACGGCTCAACGGAGATGAGGCGTAACTTTGCTGAAGTTATGATTATACAAACTCCAGATGTACATAAATATATCAAACAGAAAAGAATAATTGCGACTTCTGTGTAAGTACTTGGCCACACCTACCTTCATGTGAACAACAGGTGTGGTAAATAAACAAGACAGGGTAGATATAAATTGATTCAATACTATTTGCAACATGTAAGAAATGCGAAAAGCGGGTTAATGGCCTTCTGTATCAGACACGTTTCAAATTTCTTAAAAAAGAACGATTTTTGTCCTGCTAAAATAAGAAACAAAAGAGATTATAACAGTTGCATTCGATAGGTTGGGTTTGGTTTGTTTTACAGCATATCAGCTTCAATGGGTTATTTAATGCCGACAAGATTTTTATTGCTGGTTATATTTTTTTTTATCTATCTATCTATCTATCTATCTATCTATTGGTTTGGTTTGGTTTGGTTTGGTTTACGGTATATCAAACACAATGGGATATTTAATGCCAACAAGATTTTTATTGCTGGTAATATTTTTTTATCTATCTATCTATCTATCTATCTATCTATCTATCTATCTATCTATCTATCTCATTCTCTTCATATCTATCTATCTATCTATCAGTATATATTGGTTTGGTTTGTTTTACGGCATATCAACCTCAATGGGTTATTTAATGCCGACAATATTTTTATTGCTGGTAATATTTTTTATCTATCTATCTATCTATCTATCTATCTATCTATCTATCTATCTATCTATCTATCTCATTCTCTTCATATCTATCTATCTATCTATCTATCTATCTATCTATTGGTTTGGTTTGTTTTATTTTACGACATATCATCCTCAATGGGTTATTTAATGCCGACAAGATTTCCATTGCTAGAAATATTTTTTTCAAATAGTATTTCAGGTAATATTTTTCCCCAAAATGTATTTCTGGTAATATTTGTTTTTCAAAAATGTATTGTTGGTAATATTTGTTTTTCAAAAATGTATTGCATGTAATATTTTTTCCCAAAAAGTATTGATGTTAATAATGTATTGCTGGTAATAAATTTTTCTTCGAAAATTTATTGCTAGTAATAATTATATACGAAAATGAATTGCTGGTATAAAAACCTATTTTTACACGTTTTGACCCTAGTTTGGGGGTTAACTATTTCCCATAGCTGGGACCCTAACAGGTGCTACGACCACGGGTTCAGGGTGAACCTAGAACACCAGCAATTAAGAGGTGGTTCCACGCTCCTCAAAACCTCCTGATCAACCTCCTTGTGGTTGGAGGTAGTTTATCGTCATCTCTAGGACGATATTCGGTAGGATAATACTATCACTCTTAAATCGTTGACTTGTACCAGTCTCAGTAAATCTTAGTAAATATCTGCATACATGGTCAGGAGTGTTTTTGCATAGGTGTCGACCGCTTGTGTTCAAGTCCTGTTAAAACGTTCATATTTCGAATGCTGATTTTCCAGGTGAAAATTTCAACTTTCTAACGCCGTTTCTTATGTTATTCCATGTTGCAAGCAGTTAATCTGAATCGATATTATCATGTCGGAGTCAGTGGAATGTCTACTTGGACTTATGTATTTTAACCCTTTCAGCCCCGATCACCGGTAAATGACGTACTGCCCAGCCACCGGTTGAACGGTGGTAGAGAAAAATGACGTAATGTCCAGCCACTGGCTGAACAGTGGTAATGAAAAATGACGTAATGACCCAGCCACCGGTTGAACAGTGGTAAAGAAAAATGACGTAATGCCCCAGCCACCGGTTGAACAGTGGTAAAGAAAAATGACGTAATACCAAAACACTGGTTGAAAAATGGTAAAGAAAAATGACGTAATGCCCAGCCACCGGTTGAACAGTGGTAAAGAAAAATGACTTAATGCCCCAGCCACCGGTTGAACAGTGGTAACAGTGCCCCAGCCACCGGTTGAACAGTGGTAAAAAAAATGACGTAATACCAAAACACTGGTTGAAAAATGGTAAAGAAAAATGACGTAATGCCCAGCCACCGGTTGAACAGTGGTAAAGAAAAATGACTTAATGCCCAGCTACCGGTTGAACGGTGGGTAAACTCGTGTAACTATATTTATATTTACCATGAAATATTACATATCATTTACTTGCGAATTTTGACTTCGGCGTTCAGCCAGAAGGGTTGAAATTGCTCAGGATTGCAGAACTCCAAAGGTTAATTTATATCTAGGGCAAAAAAAAGTTACTTGCAGATGAACCGCACCTCCCCAGTTATTATATTGGTCTCATATTCTCCACTGACATCAAGTGGAGTGATTATATTGTATCAATTTCTGGGTCTGCTGCTAAGAAGGCTGGTTTACTGTTTTGTGTCAGATATTTTTTCCCAGAATCTGTCTTGCACATTTATAAATCTGCCACTCGATTGTTCATTGACTATTGCTGGCATATTTGGTCTGGTTCTCCTACAATATATCTTGGGATTCTTTTACAAAATTCAAAAAAGGTCTGTAAAGTTATCGGTTCTTAGCTGGCATCTCGACATCGGTGGCTCTCCTACCGTCATGACGTTGTTTTCCTTCGTGTTCCTATAAATGTCTTCATAGTATCTGTTGGAATGATTTCTCCTCCTTGGTACCTTGACCTTATGAATTTAAGTAGGATACTTGATTGACAAGTTGGTCTCATCATTTTACTATTGAGTTAGCTGGATTTATAACCGTAATTTCTAATCTAATAGTTTCTTTCCTTACACTTCTAGCCTCGAAATTCTATTTTTCTTCCTTTGTTAACTGCCATTTTTTACCCAATAACAAATTTCGCGCCTTTTCAGTACCCCAGACAATTGCCAGCACTTCTTTTACAATATTAGAATAATTCGTCTCCGCTGCCGTCAACTTTCAGGACAAATACATAATAAGATATGCCTCTTGTGATAAGATCGTTGCTATGGCACGTTCGCTAGCATCAGTAGTTAGTGTGAGTTCTTTCGTCGTGTTAAATACCTTAACTGCTGGCTTGTTTCTAAGTGCTTCTTTTAGCCTTTTGAAGGCCACCTCCTGTCTTTCGGTCCACTGAAATTCATTCTTCTTTCTCAAGTTCGCAAAAGGTTCAGTCATGCCGCTATATCGAGGTATATATTTATTGTAAAAGTTAGTCAAACCCAAGAACGATTCTAACTCTTTTTTTTTTATTTTACGTGTACTTATTACCGATATTTCATTAACAACTCAGGTAATCTGGCGAGATCTCATCTTTCGAAATTTATATCCTAAGTATGAAGTTTTTTCGCAATTAAACTTACATTTATCTCGATTGTCATGCCTGTATTATTCAGTTATCTCAGAACCTGTTCAATTTTATTCTTTAGCTCTTTCTCAGTACGAACGCAAATACCTATGTCATCCTGATAGACAATGATGTTTTTTACTCTATCCAAACATTCTCAATAGCATTTTGGAATATATGGCTAGATGTTTTAATTACAAACGCCAGACAAATCAACCTTAGAAAACCTACAGGAGTGTTTATCGTGGTGACTCCTTGAAAATAATCAGAAATTTTAATCTGACTATACGCAGATTCAAGAACAATGTTGGCAAAACAATCGTGCTAGCAAATTTATGACAGGCCGTTTCACTATTTGGCAATGAGAAGGAGTCCGTATATATTTGGCGATTTACATCGAATTTTAGTCATTACGAATTCTTAAATCGCCATTTGTTTTGTATATGGCCAAGATTGGAGAAGCCCTATTGCTAAGACCCTGTTTGAACTACTCCAATATACTTTCTTCAATCATTTTATTACGTTTCACAATAACCACGGGCAGAAGGTGAACTGAAACTATTTCCATTATTCGGACTATTGTCTTCATCTTTGTTGCCATATTTATCACAACGTTTCGGCCGTTGTACTCACCGGCCTTCTTCAGGTGGTTGGAATGTCGAACTGAACCCTTTATTTCGATCACTGGGGTAGACTGTTCTAGTTCCACGTGCCATGTATAATGGATGTCAGTTGTCAGTTACCACCAGTTAATTCTCTAAGTTCTCCACCGTCTTAACCTGGTATTGAACTCACAATATTTGGGTCCTGTCACTGGATCTAACTGAGGAAAATAGTCCAAATAATGTATGACACAATAATCTCATCTCAAATATAGACAGAACTAACGTCTTTATCCAAAGATGAGGAAAATAGTCCAAATAATGGGCAAAATGACACAGTATAGACAGATAAAAGGGCGAAAAACGCGATAAATAGCAACAAAGATGAGGGTCCGAATATGACACAGTGGATAAAAGCGTTGCGATAAATATGGCAACAAAGATGAGGACAATAGTCCGAATAATGTAAATGGTGTACATAATAACTCATCTCAGAAATATAGAAAGATATTGAAAGGCCAAAACGTTGTGATAAATATGTAAACAAAGATGAGGAAAATAGGCCAAATAATGTAAATGGTGTACATAATACCTCATCTCAGAAATATAGAATGGCAGAAACTGAAAGGGCAAAGAAACGTTGTAATAAATATGGCAACAAAGATGAGGAAAATAGTAGTCAAATAATGTAAATAGTATACATAATCTCAGAAATATAGACTCATCTCAGAAATATAGACAGATACTGAATGGCCGAAACGTTGTAATAAATATGGCAACAAAGATGAGGAAAATAGTCCAAATAATGTAAATAGTATACATAATACCTCATCTCAGAAATATAGACAGATACTGAAAGGGCGAAACGTTGTAATAAATATGGCAACAAAGATGAGGAAAATAGTCCAAATAATGTAAATAGTATACATAATACCTCATCTCAGAAATATAGACAGATACTGAATGGCCAAAACGTTGTAATAAATATGGCAACAAAGATGAGGAAAATAGTCCAAATAATGTAAATAGTATACATAATACTCATCTCAGAAATATAGACAGATACTGAATGGCCGAAACGTTGTAATAAATATGGCAACAAAGATGAGGAAAATAGTCCAAATAATGTAAATAGTATACATAATACCTCATCTCAGAAATATAGACAGATACTGAAAGGGCGAAACGTTGTAATAAATATGGCAACAAAGATGAGGAAAATAGTCCAAATAATGTAAATAGTATACATAATACCTCATCTCAGAAATATAGACAGATACTGAACGGCCGAAACGTTGTAATAAATATGGCAAGAAGGAAAATAGTCCAAATAATGTAAATAGTATACATAATACCTCATCTCAGAAATATAGACAGATACTGAAATGGCCGAAACGTTGTAAATAGTCCAAATAATGTAAATAGTATACATAATACCTCATCTCAGAAATATAGACAGATACTGAATGGCCGAAAATGAGTAAATAATGTAAATAGTATACATAATACCTCATCTCAGAAATATAGACAGATACTGAATGGGCGAAACGTTGTAATAAATATGGCAACAAAGATGAGGAAAATAGTCCAAATAATGTAAATAGTATACATAATACCTCATCTCAGAAATATAGACAGATACTGAAAGGGCGAAACGTTGTAATAAATATGGCAACAAAGATGAGGAAAATAGTCCAAATAATGTAAATAGTATACATAAATACCTCATCTCAGAAATATAGACAGATACTGAATGGCCGAAACGTTGTAATAAATATGGCAACAAAGATGAGGAAAATAGTCCAAATAATGTAAATAGTATACATAATACCTCATCTCAGAAATATAGACAGATACTGAATGGCCGAAACGTTGTAATAAATATGGCAACAAAGATGAGGAAAATAGTCCAAATAATGTAAATAGTATACATAATAC